TTTCTCACCACAAGCGTCACATGGTTTTGTACGTCTATACTACAAACATATGTCTATGTTTCTAGTATATATTTTTAAGGTGTGGAAATAGTACTTTCGGTGAAAAAATAAAGAGCTCCGTAGAGCTCGTCCGCTGCATGCACTTGGCCCGCTGTGAATTGGGATGTTTTTTGTGACCACACAAAATAGTTAGAGAAATGGAGTCTGATAGAGGCATAGAGCACGTTTTCTAGGCAACTGAGTTCATCTGAGTTGAAGTTGACGTGCGTCATCACAGCTGAACAAGACACACGGCAGATAGATCCAGTGTTGACAGTTTCAGTTTGTCGCTTTCGCAATTCGTCGTGCACGACTGTCAGTCAAACCCTAATCATGTGTATGTTGGGGGACGCTCCCTTGTTGGTTTTATCACCCGGGCTTGCCTCAAGAATTTCTCTCCTTGTGCTCCTCTGTCTGTTGTTCAATGTAGAAGCCAGTTCTCCAGAAGAAGCTCCAATCTTGGTTGCAGCCGGACTGCTGCACAATCTTCAACCACTTTTCTTGACTTGGTTGCAGCCCGCACAAGGAGTACTTTTACATCCTCTTTTTACTGCTGCATTTTCTTTTTTGGTAAAGCATTAATTGCGGCATCTTGATTTGAACTCTCTGCATTGCTAGCACAGTACGTATACTCTGCTCATCTTGGTTAGTTTTTGGCCATAAACCTCATATATTCATCACCTGCTCGTCTTCATCTTCATTTGGCCCCTTTGGTCTTTTAGCTGAAGTTTTCACTCTCAATCAATCCAAGCCACTGCTAAATATCGTCGGTATGGCTGATTTAGGTTGTAAATGTAGTAGTAGTTTCTACAGTTAACTTAGCCAGGGTATATGGCATGGCTAGCTCATCATCCGTTTTATACACTGGAGCAAGGATTTCTTCAAACAGGCTAAATCTTGGAGCTCTTTTATAGTACCCTGCGACAATTATAGGCCGTCCATTCGTGAAATCTGACGGAGAGGAGCGATCTGTACTGCTCCAATTTGCGAATGGAACCGCGAGCGGTATAGCTTGCACTGCTTTGCTCCCGTCCTCCAGTATACAGTATACATCTCCGGGGCCATGGGTAAGCACCCTCTGCCTCGCCATGTACACCGCGTTGCTCTCCTCCGTCCATCCCTCCTCCTGTTTCTCTTGGCACGAGAAGCTCGTGGAGGACCCCCGTCGCGCTGCGGGACAGGCCGGTGCTCACCCGCGACTATTCTCGCCTTGTCTTCGTCTCCATGGAGGTCCATGCCCCACGCCGGCGTGGTGGGCCCGTGTACTCTGCCGACCTCCCCTCTGGGTCCGGGCTACGGCAGCGCGCAACACCTCACCCCGGCTTTCCCGCATCGTCGATTTCAGCCCCGCCGTCTCGCCCTCCGGGGACGGGACTGCCGCCGCCTCGCCCAACGAGGACGGCGGTTGGGCCGGCAAGGCGTAGGACCTCCACACCGATGACTACACCTTCCGGATACCTGATCGCTTCCGGCGCATGCTGCTCGTACGCGACGATCGCTGGCCTTGTTGGGCAGACGAGGCCACGGCGGCCAGCCGCCCCTGCCCGCCTTCTAGGATTTCGGCCGCCGCGCGAGCGTGGCAATTTTCTTTTCCGTCGCCATTATCTGGCAAACGGCGTATCTAAGGCTCTAGCCGCCGTGGCACACCCACAACCCCTTCATTGTGGACGGCCACCGTCGTGCTCATCTTCTTTCGCCTACCCGAAATCCCTTTCTTCACCATGTTTCTGGACTGGGCCGTCAGTAGCATGGTGCAGGTCTCTCCCGAACGACCTGAGGCGTCAGCATGCGGCTCTGCCATGGCTGAGATTTTGAAATTGAGGGTGATGGTTGAGTCCTGGACTCCTGGTTGATAACAGTTGCCATCGCCCTCAATTTCAAAATCCCAAAACTGTCTATCCTATCCCCAGAATATCAATGGCCCGATTTTAATATACTGCTCCCTCGCCTATCAACAGTATAGGGTACCGTAAAAACTCTCAAATCTTGAACCAGGGATCAAACGTCGTAAGCCGGGGGTGTGTCTCGGTGACCGAAAGAACGGCCTCCAGAACTTGACACCTAGGATCATAGGTGTAGACCTTCTTCTGAAAGTTTTCATCAACCCAACGCTCGCTAGTAGCAATGACAATCTTCTTCCCCAAAGTGGCATTGCCGACAGAACCAATAACCCTCACAACCTTTGGATCACCTAATTCACTTCTGGCCTGCCCAAATCTCCAAGGTGCTACCGTCAGGGGCTCTGTTGCGAAGGTCCCGGACAATGCACAGCCGGTCATCCACCACAGCCAGGTGCTCTCGTTCTGACTGGGCCCGGGAGCGCAGGTGCTCTCTTGGTCCCCAGAACGGCGGTGATCGGACACATCCGAAGGTTTCCTCCGCAACAGAAAAGGATACGATAGCATGCAGCTCTTGGCCTTCTGAAGAAAAGAGAAGGATTGGTCAACCAGTGCAGAAATCCACTGGCAAACACAGGTGGTATTTTGTTCACCATTGCATGAGCAACCGCAGAATTTGCAAACAGGGACCACTTGAAGGGCACTCCTCCAGCCGCAGGCCTCCAGCGATCAGCTCCAGGTGTGTACACGTCACACCTGATCGTCTCTTCTCGTCAGAGAACCCGTTGATCAACCTGACGACCTTGTACTCCCTTGTCCGGACATTGCAAACATAGTAAGCTGGTGCGACAGCATCAAATAGAAGGGTGAGTCCACAGCAAGGTGAGGGCATCACTATTTCCACGGAGTTGCGGCGGGCAGAGTCGACGGTGAAGAGCAAAGCATCTCTCGGGCTTGAGCTTGAGCTTGAGCTTGACGGTGGGTATGAGCTTGAGCTTGACGGTGGGTATGAGCTTGAGCTTGACGGTGGGTATGAGCATACTGTGGTGGAGTCCAATTCTGCTGTGGGGGAGACAAGTAGTAGCTTTGGTGCTTGTGGTGGCACCTTGGATGTTGCCATGTGGAGGCTGCAGAAATCCTTGGAGGAGAAGCGTGCAGCCCAAGAGCGGCAGACGGCCTGGAAGCGGAGAATGGATTTGACCTAGAGGGAGGGACTGACTGCTTGGTCTGTCGGCAACCGTCCGATTTGACTTCAACGGTTGACATCGTCAATACTCTCCCCGTTGTCTTCGATCACGTTAGCAGGGGATTCGTTCAATTTATACGCTCTATCTCTATCCTCACTTGAGAAAACGCAAAAAACATCGTGTCATCGGAAAAGCTATACACCCAACGTTTCTCACTAACGTGTCGCGTGTGAACGCCTTGTTGGCCATTGGATGCCATGCACAAATATTTGCGCAATGGAGTGAATGTTCTCTGGTTAGCAACAACAGACATCAGACTAAGAGGCAGTTTCTACAACTCCATGACATCATTCCTGTTTTGACACCTTCGGAGAAAGACAAGTGGCAGTGCCTTGGACAACCTCAGAATTACTCTTCAATGAAAATGTACAAGCATTTGTTGGGGGACCAAGAGGGGCACACTTTCTTCAATCATATCTGGAGCACTTCTAGCAGACTACAGCAAAATTATTATTTTCTGGTTAGTGGCCCATGATAGAGTTTTTTTTTTTTTTTGCTAATTGGCCCATGACAGAGTTAGCACAAGATCCATGTGGATTCGAAGAGGGATGCAGCTGGATGATCCCTTTTCTCCAAATTGTGGCCAAGAGGCTGAAGAAAAACTCATGCACCTGCTTTGGGATTACAACTTTGCAAAGAAATGTTGTGCCTCTTTCATCCCTGCAAAAAAAAAGAGGCACCTCTGTTTTTTGAAGACACCTTGTGTTTCCAAGGCTGAGTTGCCGCCTCATTTTGGCATGGATAACTATGTTGGGATGCTGGAGTATTTGGATTCAGAGGAATGGTACAGTATTTAGAAACATTCAACCAATTGTCCAAATCGGAGATTCACTCTAAAGGAAGATCTAGAACGACTCACGATCAAGTTGAAGGATAAATATTCAGAAGAATTTCGGCAGTGGTTTACTAAAAAAATTAGTGCCATGATGAACATGTTCCCCAAGTCCTAGAACTGTTCTCTCTAGGTCTCTTTTGTTAGTTTTCTTCTCTTTTCTCCTCCCCTTTTTGTAACATACTGGCGAACATTTGTTCTACGGTGTGCAGTTTAAAAAAACCGGGAATGGTGACGAACATGAGATGTAGTACGCAGGTGTGTGTGCACAGGTGGAGTAGTGGAAGCAGGATCGATGTGCTAGCTGCGGCGTTGTTGCTAAAGCATGACACCGCTAGAGCTATAATTTTCTTAACTAAATGAGGTAATTCTTGGCATTGTTTTCTTCTCTTTTCTCCTCCCCTTTTTGTAACATACTGGCGAACATTTGTTCTACGGTGTGCAGTTTAAAAAAACCGGGAATGGTGACGAACATGAGATGTAGTACGCAGGTGTGTGTGCACAGGTGGAGTAGTGGAAGCAGGATCGATGTGCTAGCTGCGGCGTTGTTGCTAAAGCATGACACCGCTAGAGCTATAATTTTCTTAACTAAATGAGGTAATTCTTGGCATTGTTTTCAAGAAAACTTCAGAGCATGTACCTAGGCCTGTTTAAATCCGCTCCCGCCGGGAGTCGAACCCAGGACCTGGGGTGCTACTAAGGTCGCTGCAACCACTAGGCTACAAGGCCCGTTCGCAATAGCACACTTTTGGATTCCACAAGTGTGTAAAAAATAGAGCATTCCATACACAAATTAGGACTATGAGAAAAACTACATGTACACGAATTTCATCTTATTTTATACAGTTTTGAACAGGTCACCTTTTTGCATCTTTTTTACAACCGCGCATGGTACGGAAATGATGTAATGTACACCTATATTTTGTTTATGCTTCCTAGGAACTTGGAAGTGTATTTGCAGGCACGACTAGCTAAAGATTTTAGTTTCCTGGTAGCATTGTGTCTTCACTGGGGCCTTTTCTCCGCGCCTCATCGTCACAGGAGTCACGTCTTCCCCTGGTAATACTTGTTCACCAGTCTCTCTGAGTACTCTCCAAACGTAAGCGCTCCGTTTGGTGGAATCAACTGACAGATGTTTACAGAAAACAGACCTTAGTTAGTAGAACCAAAAAGCATATGCAAGTTGAACTTTCATTGCAAAAAGGAAAAAAAAATAAGTGCAGCGAGATTTTGTGATGGTTAAATGGCAAACCTCTTGGTGATAGGGAATTTCACTTGGAAACTTCAGCGTCTCATTCCTGCAAAACAATTATAAAAGAGTGATTATTCTTTTAGTACAGGTAAGCGGATGTTTAAGAACCCATAGTAACCACCCAGTTCTTCCGGATTAATTGATACCACTACGAAATCCGGTTCTCCCGGGTTTAGCTTAACTGGTCCAACATGAAAACAGAAGTGCATTCAGCACAGAGTATAGATTCTAATGTTTGTACATCACAGTTTACTGAATATAACTGTTAACGCGGAGAAACAAGCCCAGATAACATGGTTAATCACATCACAGCAAAAGTACACCACCTTTACAATTTTAAGTAGAAAATTTGCACGTACCAATCTGGTTGCATGAACATTGCAAAAGTAGAGCGCTCAACATTTGAAGCATTCTCACTGCTGGGTGCCTGAAAGTAACAGCGGCGGTATGAGAAGTTACAACCGTGGGAAATTTGGAACACTAATTTACCTTGTAAACTACAAAACTAGGTTAGCTGTTAAGCTCTTCGACATAATACCTGCACACAGTGTGGAGTTGCACATAGACGACCTCTTGATAGTATTTCAGTAGTTTCCCCAATTTGGTAAGCTAATTCATCCTCCCCAAATGTAACCTACAGTATCCAACCAACAGCAAATAAACGCAGAGTTGTGAGAATGTTAACATAGTTTCAGTGCAATTATTTAACCAATGTGTGTCAACACAGACTATGTGCAACAATTTAACCAGTGATGGGGAGCATAGTTGGTACTGGTTGTGAAGGGTGCCTATTTCCCAGTGCAGCAAGCACAGGTATACCTTTTTTTATACATGTGCTAATGTAAAGATGACTTATCTTTATATGATGAGAAAGCTACTGGGACTCGCAGGAGCTTACCTTAACAACTCGGTTATCACGAGTCCGGATGTACAGCCCAGCTGCACTATCAGGACAGGGGACCTCCACTGAATTTTTCATAAACAGGCCACATGTAAGTCCTGTATGAACAGACAAACTATTAGCTACAAAAAATACTTCTTCAAGACAAAATCATAGCAAATGTGACAGCTACATACATGAAAAGAATGGAGATAAGATGTGTATTACCTGTTAAAGACCCATGGTCAGTATGCCATCCACACCACGATGAAACAGAATCACCACCTTCTTTTTGTGTGCTGTTATATGAGGTAAGTTAATATCAATTGTTACAACTAAAAACTGGAAAGTTTGGTTGAATGGGAAAGAAAGAATTTAAGATTTGATCCAAGTGTAATATGCCTTTTCATAAGTGATAGTATAGTTTGCTAATGCTATTATCCTCGATGGGCTGTTTAAAGGAAGTGCAGAACCACCAAACCAATAAACCATTCTAAATACTCTTAAACTCCAACATAACTGTAGGTTACAGGGGTATTCACCATCTAGAGCAAAATAATTCTTTATGAACGTTTCTTTTACGAGTCATGTACATATGCTGAATGTACCTGAATTGTCTGGGGAAATAGTACAGCAGACGCCCCTTGTGACACCTTGAACGGGAAATTGTCTGCTCAAGACTTTCACCATCATATGGTCCCACTCCGTGCTGCATCACTGCAAAATAGACAGATGTTGATCCATTTGAATAATAATTGGTAAACCAAAATTCAAAAGTAAAGCACAATTAGAAGACCTAGAATTAATATGGAGGTCACCTTTTCGTAAAGACACTTATGGATACCATATCCACGATACATATTTCTTAATACCAATATTTTCCTTTCGTATATTGCAGTACAACGTGGTAGTTATCATCAGATGCGCAAATTATTGCTTCCATGTTGAAATAGGAGATCAAGCACACTTTAGCCTATAAACTACTTGAGATCTTACAAAGACAAATGGATGTTGTTTGTCCATGAAAATCTTAAGAAAGTTTCAGGTATCCCTAGAGTTATGTAAATACATTGTTACATTGAGTATCACTACTGGCCATTCATAACAGAGTTTGCATCTGCTATTTAAATTCATAACACATTATAAAAATTTGGGTATTCAGCTGGTCATTTCCTTTTCAATTGTACAATCATCATAGAAGACTTTATAACCAATATATGGCAAAATTTATGTGGCAAAATTCTATGTGGCAAAATTTGCAGGAATTAAAATTCTATGTGGCAAAATTTATGTTCCTCCACAGAACCATACTGAGTTACATAGTGTTTGCACAGTACATACCATAGAGATCACAATGACGAGCCAACATCAAGCCAACTTCCAACATTAGCTTTCCAAGAGCTTTAAAGGCTGTTAATGAAAGAATGTGACGGTAACTTTAATGCTGTGAATTAGTAGTCATGAACTGTTGTAGGAAGCTTTACAATGCCAGGACAGTCAGTCAAGTCATACCTATTTCAAGCTCAGGAAGATGATCAGCTGGCCATATATTTGGTCGGCAGTATGATGGGTACCTGCAGATTAAAGCACCATTAGATATCATGAAATGGCAAACATAAGTCATATAATATTGCAGCTCAAGAGGCATTCAGAAATATTAATCCGAAAATGTAGAAATGATTTATTTGTCTTTTCCCTGAGAATTTCTCAGAATAAGTAGCAACCACATCTCACAAAATTGAGTGACACACAGATATATAATATAGACTAAGATCTCATCACATAAATTAAACTTTGGGGCAATCTCATAGAATTAAATATTATTACTAAATGGAGATGATATTTTTAAGTAGAAATATTATACCTACTTACAAGGACATCATCAGTAGTAGGGACATCCAAAATTGGGTTGGCATAATAGGAGCCTTTGAATGTGTCTGCATGGATGATCAGAATTACATTATGAGTTAAAATTATGCCAAGATATACAAGTTCTTCGAGAGAGAAAAAAAATACTCTGGTGTGTTCAAAATAATACTGTTGCAATCGATTTACTTATGAAATAGCTAAGTTCATTTTTCTGACATAAAACTAAGAATTTGAAAGCGAAACTGGACATGCTGCACAGTGAACTCTGGGAATGAAATTCAATAGTCCCCAAGGTTAACGTCGTTTTGCAACAATCATTCAGCAGGTGGCACAAGGATGCAGAATTAATAAACGGAGGAAATGTTTACCTAGTTTCCCAGATTCAAGTTTCTCTTTCCCATGGCTCCAGCCAAAATTATACCTATGCAGCAACCACAATAGTATATAAATCATTTTAAGCTAGTGATCTTTGCACAAGCATCACTGCTATGATCAATGACTATCAAATTTGACATGAACAGAAGAACAGGTTATAAAGCAACCAAAATTAGTATCTCTGAAGTATAGCAGTCGTAACTGAATTCTAGATGAAAAAATATATAACCGGTTACTAATACTACCTGCTATCCGGGTCTTCAAGTTGTTTCTTCACATCTTCAGGGAGGTTTGCGACTCTGACAGACAGCAAGCAAGAGATATCAGAGACGTGTCCATACATCTCGGCACTGAATCCTGCACCGAAACGAGAGGCGGGAGACACACGGGCATACCTCGGCGCCAAGCGCAGGAGCGTTCTCCTCAGAGCTGGGAAATCCGGCACCTGAACGCGCAAAAAGGCAAAAAGGCACGCTTAAAATTCAGTTTGGCTGAAGAAACGAGCCCCATGACTTGGCTCTGTCAGAACAGAATGCCGCCGTACGCAATCGCAAGAGACGACCAGCGGCGGCGCGATCCGGATAGGGCACTCACGTCGGAAATGGAGATGATGCCGAGCCCGTTGGGGCCGAGCCCCTCCTCGATCTTGCCGCTCAGGTCCCTGCCCCGCTCCTGCACCCCCCCGCCGCCGCCCGAATCGACGTCGTCAGTCTGTCAGTCAGAACCAGAGGAAGGTCGAAACCAGCCACCGCCGCGCGAGGCGAGGCGAGGGGAAGGGGGGACGCGCACCTTGAGGTCGGCGAAGGGGATGGAGACCGTGCGGACTGACGGCGGCATGGCGGCGGCGCGGCAGCGGACCCGGCGACGGGGCAAGGCGCGGTCTTGGCCTCGGTCTCGGTTCCGGACGGCTGGTGCCCAAGTGGATCGCGCCCCCACGGCACTGCCCGCCTCCATCTATATCCAGCCCCCTCGCTGGCGCACGCGCCGGTCGCTGTCCGCCCGACCCGACTGACGGAGGGTGGCGTGCGGTTGCGCGCCTGCGCGGTGGTTTGGTCGTTGGCGCTGCGGCGCGGCGCGGGGGTGATAAGGAATTGAGTAATTGGGGGCAGTGGCACGGTGCCCGGCCCCGGCACGCCACCGCAGCGTTTGTGCCGTGCGCGTCGCCTCCGCCCGCCGGCCGCCGCCTTTGTTATCTGCCGTTGCCACCTGATAATTTGACCTCACCACCGTGAGATTGTATCTTGTTTCCCCTTTCTGAAAAAAAGGCCAACTAGCAAAATATTATGGTTAACCAGTCTTTACAACACCATCCTTACATAAATAGAAAACTGAACATAGGTCCTTGAGAAAAATGACGCCATCCACTTCATAGACTCGATCTTGCATCTTGACCTATGTTGAGTAGAGCCACGAGACGCCGGTGACAATGATATGAGAATCGCCGCCAAGATAAGAATGTGGCGAAGAGGGTTGGACGACCACCCCGAGTCCGGCCAGACAGATCGGGGAAGGCCTAACCTCATTACCTTCCCGGTGAAGCCAAAGCTGACCGGACTTCACAGGTGAGAGAAATAACTGGAGGACCAAGAAACAAAGTGTTGTCCACTCGGACGGTGGCTTTGAAAGTTACCGGCAAAACACAAAGACAGATCCAGATCCACCGCTTCAGACGAGTAGCGACCAAACGACCCCTTTGCAGCAATCGAAGTTGACCAGTAGTAAAAGAAACATTATTCATAAATCGCACAGCGCCGTCACCACCACCACAACACCGCCATCGAGAAGCG